CTCAGAAGATACAAACATCTCGCATTTTCGACAGCCATACTGGGGAGGCAGAGTTCACTGAGAGGAGGAGTAGACGGATATCCGCCAACTACACCAATGGCGTTCTTGGGAGTAGTCGAGGTATGGCCAGCGCTCTTGGTGGCCGGACAGGCGGCAGTGGCATCTCAGTGCGTCCACCATCGGTAGAACGAAGGATAGGCAAACGTATCGTCAAGCGAGCGCCACCTTCAGGACGTGGACAAGTCAGGGTGGTTCAACCGATCGTGCCTTTGCGAAGTAGGGACATGATGGAACGCAGTCGACGCGCCAACACCCCGCGTGTTATTGGGGGCGCCCCTAAGCGGGAATCCTGGACTTGGTCGATGAAGCCCCCCTCCTATAGTAGGCCTACTTCGAGTACTCAAGGCAATATGGCAGGTGGATAGACTAACGCCTGTATGACTACTCCCCTCTGCATACGCTGCTCTGATGTGTTGTTCGATATCGTAGTCTCGCGTTTGATGTGAGTGGGACGCTCCAATGGCCAATCATCGTTATCCTTGTCAATGCAAAGCACTGAAGTTGCTACTCACTTATTCACCTGACTTGATAAGGTGTATTGTCTCTTGGACGATGTCGTGGCAACGTTTAGAGCACCCGTATTTCGCGCTAGTTGCAGCTATAGTTGCCCAGGAGTAGATAAATGCTGCAAACATTGATTGATGGAAACCCAGGTTTCCCAAGTCTGCAGTTATCAAATGTGACCACGGGATGCGTCGAGTGGGATGTCAGTTCAGCACAATCACGCTGTACTTGTCATTCCAATGCTTCACTGCACCACACGTGCTGCTCTCCTCGGACGTTGGAGGAGTCGGTCAGGAGTTCCAGCAATAGATCACGTCGTTTGGCCCTTGCTACTATCTATCCGCCCACACTTATCAACGTAAGAGAACATCAGTGAATAATACAGAAACGTAGTGTAGCACACAAGGGCCATGGTTACCATCAGGCAATGTGAGCGGGCAGGAGCTGCCGTTCTAACCTCAGGTTGATATTGTGATCTGTTGGGGGGTCTCGAACAAAGAAGACATGATGCGGCCACAACTTCTTCATCCACCTGAGTTGACCCCACATCACCTTCCACACCGCATGCGGCTTGCCTTACACATGGTCTCTACGGTGCAGCAGACGATAGCTGGTGGCAGTCAAGCGCTGTGGACGAGTTCGCTTCCTCGCCCGATCACAATTCAAATTGGCACTAATAGGCCAAAATGTTCCTCCATGACAACCAACAGCCTCACCGTCGGAACATCCATCCAAACCTGGTCAGCAAGAAACGCTGTGTAGCACCGCTGTACGCATGTCGTCTACGATCCTTCATGTTCTGCTTCTGTTTTATCTATAAGACCCTATACATGACTCTCTCCATCTGCCAATATGGTCCTACATGGACAGCGAGGGCGTAAAGTTGCAGCCTCCTCCATTCGAGCAGTCGAGTTGGACTATACCATCCATTGGCCACATTGTGATGAGAATATCGTCTCTGCTCCCCCATCATCACATACGTTAGTCGTGGTTGACCTATCGATCACCATTCAAATTCCAACCTAGCTGCCCGTAACCTCACCAAACCAACCCAGGCCCCGCCTAGTACAGCCAGCGAGAGCTCCTTGTGTAAGTCGTGTA